GAGCCTGGAATTGATAGGAAAGCTTCAGTCTTCATTGCCAATTTCCATGCAACTCGCATCTCCGAATCGCTCAGTTGTCAGGCTCCTGATGAAAACGCCTCAACTTAACCTCATTATCATTTCATTCATTTCTTCAGCCACCTTGCATGCTCTCTCATCGCTCTTTAGCTACTATTTCTCTATAGTCTATACCACTCAATTTGTATTAGCAGTAATTTAATTATAACGTTGTTCATACTGAATAATGTTGTGAAATACTGTAATAAATATCAAATCAATAAATATTGGTAGAGAGATTAATTTGCTTAATTATATATATCTTCTACATAATTTCTTTCTCTTTATTATACAACAAGAACATAATGTTTTTATGCATGATTGATTGGGTTTAAATTAATGCCTTCAAGAAAAAACAGTTACTAGCTAGCTAGCTGGTATCATGGGACAGCAGATTGTCCATCTAGCTCTTTAATTAATTTCTGCCTCTAAATATTGGACGCTAAAACTAATGCCTCAACCCAACTTAATTTTTTGAGGAATTGATACCAAACTTAAGTAAGTTGACTGGACTACAACAACACTTTTGCCAGTTATAAGCTTCACCAGGTCTAGAGCGAGCAAGCGAGCGAGCAAGCATATGTTGGTAACGAACTTTCTTTCTTATTTGCAATGATTAATTGTTACACATTCATACCAAGAGCGGAATTAATATCCAGAACCTCAACTGGTTACTTTAATTCCTCAGTGGAGACTCATCTTCTGATAGCTAAAAAGGGTAAAAAAAAAAACCATGAGGATTGTGAATCTTGCTTTCCACGAACCAAGGTTAATGGTGCCTTGCTTCACAAGCACCACACCCAGTACTTGAACTGTCAAGTGTCAATTCTTTTCTCTTTCACTTCAGGTTACAGAATATCTTATAACTTAATTGCTTTAGTTACAATGATAGATCGATCTCAAACCCCTAAATTTGGGAAGGGAATTTTATGAGTGAGAATAATGAATCAAGCCAGTTTGTGTCTACTGTCTAGCTACTTTGAAAACCATTGGCAAATGTTGTTCTGAGACCTCCTGAATTCAGTGGAGGGGCATCCTATAGCAAAGTTAAAAAGTCATCATAGAATCTGTCTGTCATCCACTTGGCCTGGTGACCCCTTCTTTTCACTAAGAGAATCTTTGCATAATTGAACCTCTCTTCTTTGATCAAATTGTAATATAGCTCTAAGGAATGGTGACCATCTAATTGAATTTGTAAAAAAACTGTGCTTTTTTCTTTTTTGAACCCTTCAAAATTCTTCCTGCTCCCACTATTGAATGATTCTTTGCTTTCACTTTGGAATTTTCAGAGTAAACACAGAATGTGGTTTGCTCATTTAGCTTACATGAAAATTTTCAGAGAATCTTCTACAATGTAACCTATTTCTCCTATTACAAAACTGTACTCCTAATTGTTTTAGATTCGATTTCCAACTTCTTTAATCTGTGCTAATATATGAACATTAACCACACATGGAAATTTAGATACCTGATTTTCCATACATGGAATTCAGTTTCCTACATCAAATATATATATATATATACTCTAATTGTCCTTAAATTGAAAGAAAATTTTCATTTTTTACCTTAGTTTATGCTAAACTAGTTATTTGAAACTCTAACCACACATTTGTTTTTAACTTTAAAAAGCCTTTTGTCCATTCATTCTTCAAGCAAAAATCCACTCAATATTTTTGTTACACCAATCACTTCCTAGAGCAAAAAACAATTGAAATCAAATGTTGATGCTCTCCAAGTAGTGCAGCAGCTGAAATAACTTCATTCAAAAGCATCTATACTTCGAAACTAATTAACTAATCGATATATATACCTTTCTTAATTTACAGGTTGGTGGTATACCAGTAACAGTGGAAGCAGCTACTCTTCATGCAAATAAATATCAAAATTAAAGAAGGGTAGTATTTGTTTAATCTAAGGCTCACATTATAGAAAGTGGATTCCTTTTGGTATTATTAATTCCCTGCAAAAGAAGATTCATGTTTTGGAATGAAGCTAATCAAGCTGACCCACCACAAAAAAGTATAAAGGCCTAAAGAAGAAGTTCATAGAACATGAATCCAGAATTCAGTCAAGGATACTAAGTGTCAAATTATATACCAGCATAATCAGTACTGTTATAGACACTACTTATGGTTAACATCTCTAGTTCAATTCCTTTATAGACTGAGTATACCCCCTTCTTGTCAAGAAATGCCATTCAAAAGAAGCACAACCTAATATCTCTAGTTCAATTCCTTTATGAACTGAGCACACCATCTTCTAGTCAAGAAACGCCATTCAAAAGAAGCACAGCCTTTCTTTTTATTCATATGCAAGACATTCCATACTTCAGTACCGTTTTTTTGTTTAACTGATATACTTGATGTTGATATCAGCCTAGCAAGGACATGATATATTAATCCAACTTGTTGTGCTTCTGTGTAAGAGAAAATTAAATTGTTGATCAGAAAAAAATCAGATTAAATTTATGATTATGTTATTATGGCATTAATCAGAAAAAAATCTCTTACTTTATTTTAAATATTTGAGAAATCCGATACATGAATGAACAAAATCAATGGTAAGAACTACTAGGATATGGTAATTTCCTCAATTTGTAAGTATATCATAAATCGCTAACCAAGTACGCATCTACGCATATCTATCCAGTACTGGAGTTCTTGCAAGTAGATGACCTGAATTTGATTATATTTCACAGATAAAATGTCCATAATTTTGTAAACATGTATAGAGAGACAAAGATTTATACAACTAATCAAGCACCTGTTGCACCTGTGCATGTTTTGAAAGATTGTCATGGAATAGGCCTTATAGGTGACTGATTTGCAAAGCATGTAACTTGAAAACACTTTAATTTCTCATCCTTTTGACAACTGAATAAATGTTATGTTGTACATCCTTCAAATACTAATTAACTAAATAAAAACATATACTACACTTGATCATATATAGCCAAAAGATCGAGAAAGGTATGCATGTCATTCAAATAATAGTAGATTAGGAAATGAAAACACGAATTGAGATGAATGAAAACAGACAATGGAAAACAACAGAATCAGATAATCAAGATTAATGCATGATGAAATATTTGGGTACATCAGAGGACCAAACACACAAATTAAACTAGATAGCATTGTTCTAAGATTGAAATTAATGGTAACAGGAAAACAGGCATGCATATGATAATAAAATGAAGAGATGACCAATATATGTCTCATCCCCATATACCCTAGGACATAAAATCACATTGTTCTCAAGGGAAAAATGGATTTGACCAAAGATTATTGTGGTTGCCATCCGCAAAAGGGAACATCATGTCATCCCCTCCAAATCCCACATGGTCATGACTGTGCATCATGTCTGTGAACCATTGCTGCTGCCTCTGCATTGCATCCATGTTCATCTCCATGCCGCCTGTCCTGTCGAGCGCCGCGTCAGGGGGTGCCACCATCGTTCCAGATGCGCCTGCCATAGTGGATGACAGTGGGACTTGGGAGTTATGAGGTCCTTTAGTGAGCAAATCCACCCTTTTGTTAATATCCTTGAGATTCTGCTCAATCAGCCACCCCAGATCATTCAAATCCATCAGGTTCAGATTGAGCAGGGGTTTTCCAGCGAGCCCCTGGAACATGACCTCCGTCATCTCCTTCTCTCTGTTATCCTTGCTCATTTTCTTTAGCTGCTCATTGGCCTTGGCAATCCTCTGCCTCAGGAAACTCTCCTGATTCACCATCTTTTTGCTCTGCTCCATCTCCGGCAACTTCTTGAACCGGGACAGGACACGCTGGACTCCACCGGGGGAAGGCCAGATCTCCGGTTGGGAGTCATATGGGCTATAGACAATCGCACAGGCATCAATCCCGCATAGGGTGGTGAGTTCACTCACCTTCTTCATGAGACCCTTCTTTCTTTTCTTGAAGGTGGCTTTCCTTGCAGAATCATTGGATATGTATTGGAGCTTCACCTTCTTTCTAGTCATGGCTAAGACAGCAGATTCAGAAAGAAAGAAGAGAAAAATGGAATTTAGAGAAGCTTTGCTTTTTGTGTGTCTTCTTACCCAATTGGCCTAATCAAATATATAGAGACGGCCAGATATTCCAAATTCACCATTGCGTGGTGTAGTTTGATGCTTTTGTCTCTTTGTTGTCAAATATTAATTAATATAGGTCCTTAAGTTGTAAGTCATGTATTAAAAAGGTATTAATTACTTCTTCTTTTTTCATTTGTATAGGAAAATAAGAGAGTTAATTTTATTTTCAATAACAATGTATGTATATGATTTTATTTAGATAATTAATAAAATTAAAATTTACTTTTTTTCATAACAATTTTAATAAAAGAATAAAACTTAATGCCCCCATAAGATATGTGTTAGAAAAATTCAAACTAGAATTAAGAATATAATTAAGAATATACGCCATGTAGATCCACAAAACAAGTGTTATTAATATTTATATATATTTGATAAATGTTAAAAATGAATATATAAATGATTAAAATGGCTCTTTGAAGGTAAACATTGATTGAAAAAAAAAATCAGGGGCAATAAAGTTTGTAGGTTTGATTATTAAAAAAAAGGATATGGTGAAATCTGGGATTAAGGATATTGAGGTGCAATGTGGAATTAGGTAATTAAAAATTAAGGTGTGTCCTTGAGTGGTGGGAAATTAATTAATTAGGGGAGGTTTGGAAGAAGAGAATTGACAACTATGGTTTTTACACACGGGGATATGCTTATCTGTCTGCTCAAAATTCATGTACTTGATTTACCGTGGTGTTTTTTTGGTGTATTAGGAAAGTAAAGGCAATATCCAGCCTCATAAAATCTATACAATATTGGTTTTGATTTTATTTGAGTTGTCCTGTAATTAGCCCTTTTATTACATACCATAATTTGGTAGTGCATAAATCCAAACCTGAAGAAATCCAATTAAAAAACTACACGTATTTCGGAAGCAGAAACAGAAAGCTTTTCAAATTGCATTTATCATATGTGAGGTAAGCTTGGTTTAAAGTTAAAAATTG